CCCCTGGCCCGTGTCCCCTGGGCCCTGTGAGGCGAAGCTCCAGGGATGGGGACTGGAGCAGCGCCGCCTGCAGGCTCACCCCGCCTGTCTCCTCACCTTGTGGAGGGCATGTGTCCCGGGAAGTGGCACCTCTGTCCCTGGGAAGGACCGTTGGCACCAGGCCCGGGAGTGGACTGAGCCCCTCGCCCGAGCAGCGCCCTGCGGGGCGGGAGACCTCAGGGAGACGGGTGTGTACGTTGTCTAGCAATACACCCCGAGTGTTGGCTGCGGCCGGGGGGCCACGCCACGCAAGGTCTGCGCTCCAGCCGCAGCTCCGCCCGGGCATCCCTGTGCCAAGGAGGAGCGAGAGGACGGCCCACCTTCCGCGTCCTGCCCAGCCGGGGACCCCCTCGACCCGCCCTGCTGGGTGGCCGCCCCTGGACTGTTTGCGAGGCCCCACGGGCCTGGTCCGCTGTGCTCGGGCCGCTGTCACCGGGACGGGCGTGGATGCCACCTGCCGGGCCTGGGCTGGGCCCCGAGCTGCCCGGCACAGGTTCCTGGCCCGGCGTGGAGCCCGGGCTGGCCAGCGGCGAGTCGGCCGTCAGAGAATAAAGCCATACTGAATGACGGGTTGGCGCAGCGTGTGTCTGGGGCTACCAGGGGCTTGTCCTGGCTCGGTTTCAGGATAACCAACAGGGCAAAGATCGGGCCAGAGTTCGGGTCCCTGGGGGGGAGACAGACGCCCTCCCACGCGAGTTCTGTGTCCCGCAGTGTGTGGGGCAGGGCGGCAGCACTGCTGTTCACGGCCCCAGCTGCCGTCCCCTGTGCCACCCTTGGGAACCGGGTGAGGGGCAGCCCGCGGGACTGGGAGCCCAGCAGGGTGGCAGCTGGACTCACTGACCTGAGAGCCCGGGCCAGAAGTCTGGGCTGTGGGTGGGCAGGGCTCTCTCTCCATGGCCCCTGCGGGCCCTGGTCTTCTGGACTGTGGCCACCATCTGTGTCGGTCTTACTAGGACGCTGTCGGGGCCCACCCGACTGCAGGGCGACCTCACCTGCAGCAGGGACATCTGAGGCCCTGTCCCCAGGTACGGTTGCACACGGGTCCTGGATGGGCGTGACTTTGGGTGACACCGCCTGCCCAGGCCCCGTTCTCTGACCAGCTCAGCGAACCCGGAGGCAGGCCAGGCCCGACATGCCAGAGCCCCGTGTGGCTGGAGTGGAGGAGCGAGGGGAGGGGATGGCCGGGAAGTGGGGTGTGGCTGCCCTCTGGGTGGGTGGGAGCCAGTGTGAGTCAGGCTAAGGGGACGGGGCCTGGCCTGGGTGCGCATGGGTGTCCTCCGGCTGCTGCAGGGGACATGGAGGGCGGAGCAGAGGCTGCTGGGCCAGGTGGGGTGGAGGGGAGGTGGCAGGTCCCCAGAGGTGGACTCGCCCCTTTCCCAGTGTCCCTGAGCCTGAGGGGCTGCGGGCATGCTTCTGGGGTGGTGTGCAGACCAGGCCATAGGCCCCCCGTACCCATCAAAGCCACCCCACACCAGAGGAGGTTGGGGCCAGGCAGGCCTATGGGGGCCTCTACCCAGGACCTTCCCAACGGTGGCACAGAACAGGGGGGCCGTGGGTCGCTCCCTGGGCCCACACCGCTGACCCTGCTCTGGCTCGGGGAACTCAGGTCCCACATGGCCCCAGGGTCCTGGCGGCAGCCCCCACCCTCCCAGCATGGCGTCTGGGGCCACTGCTGGGAGAGGACTGCAGCCTGCGTCCCACGTGGGTGCCACTCCTCGCGTGTTTCTCCCATGAGACGGGAAGGTAGGGAGAGTCCCCAGCAGTGTCCACACTGACTGACCCGCCCCAGCCAGCCTGGGGGGAAGGGAGACCCCCCAGCAGTGCCCACACTGACGGCCCCGCCCCAGCCAGCCTGGGTCACAGGCCCCCCGGGGCGCAAACCCAGGGCCTCCCCATGGGAGCGGTATGGCCGCCATGCCGCCGTGACTGGCCTGCTGTGCTTACCCAGAAAGCCC